GTACTTTTTTGCTTCAAATTTTTGGCGTAGAGTATCATTTGGTGTGGTTGATGGTTTAGGAGAAACGGGGTTCTTCACATATTCAGAGCTTTCATAAAAGGGCGAAATCTGAGATTCGAACCCGGTAATATAATCTCACCGGGCCGCGGCCAATTTATTAATTACCGATTGTATTTAGTACTTATTTGCGTCAAATTTTGGTGTAAAGTGTGAATTGTTATGGCTGATGGTTTAGGAGGAACGGGCGTCCTTACGTCTGCAGAGCTCTTGTAAGGGGTCAAACTCTGGGATTCGAACCCGCGTAATTGAATCAAACCGGTCCGAGGCAAAAGTTTTGTTTAGAGATTATGTTTAGCACTGGTGTACGGCACAGAATTACAGGGATGTCCCGTTTCTTCTTCGACGGCGCTTGCAAGAGGAGCCGACGTTTATTTTCATTTTTTAGTTTTTTGTTAATACTTTTTTAAAAGAATGTAGATATCAGTTTGATTTCTTCACTAATCGTTTATAAATAAAAAGCGGTAAATTTGGAGTACAGTTTTGTGTATATATTTGCAATAGTAGCGGATTTAGAAGTGTGGTCCTGTTTACTACCATTGGAAGTTAAAACTTAAAAACGGTAAAAAGCGGCAATATGGACTATGCAGTTTTGTGATTGGATGAAATGGTCCTGCTAACTTGCAGGACGTCACCAGTTCTGGATAATACGAACATTAGCGGCCTATTTTGCCAGATATCCAGATTCGGTTATTAGCCGTAATAGTGATATTAGGTTTGAAATCAACAGCCTCAATACCCAAACATATTCGCAAATATCCAAACTCCCAAGCACGGTTATAATATTATAATGTTAATAAATATTTTTTGCGATAGCAAAACAGTATCGTCATCCACCATAAAAGCACTTTACATTTGGTTGTAATGTTTTTTGCCTTCGTTTTAATTAGAAATGGCTCCGAATTACTTAACCGTGTCGCTCTAACCGACATGAGATTTCTGGCGAGGAGAGCGTCGAGGGGTTGGTCGGGGCGTGCGGCAGTGGTGTGCGAGCGGCACGGGCGGCGCGGGCTGCGCGGGCGGCGCGGGCGGCTGCTGGGCGCGGCAGGGGCGCTGCTGTCGGGGCTGAAGGTGCTGGCGGTGGCGCCTTCGGACTCGTCCTCGTCGGCGCTGGGCGGCGACACGCTCTTCCTCCAGGTGCCCAGCGACTTCTCCGTCACCACCTCGCCCTCCTCCGTCACGCAGGTACCAAAGCACGGACTTTCTCGCATTATTTCCTAACCCGCATTTTTTTGGAAAAAAATCAGAGTTCAACGAGAATGAGACACCCACCATTCTTTTAAACGTAGCTTTTTCTATCCGTGGAAAAAATGAAGCTTTTTTGAGAAGCTTTTTTATAAATTACTTTAAATTCAAGAGCAAATTATGCTTAAATTGCTCGTTTTTCAAAAAAATGCACATGGTCCTTGATAATGTTTTATAACAGACTGTCTAAAGGAAAATGTCTCAATATTTATTTGTAGTTTTCAAGGAACTTTTTGTAATTGAAAACAGAGAGTAGCCGAAAGTGCTACTAGCACCATATTTTGTACTGCCCCTTGGCACATACTGAGAGAAAAGAAAAATTAAATGCTGCAGTTTTAGAGAAAAATATTGTTTAAAAATAATTGCCTTTATTTCGCACAAAATTCTGCGAAAAGTGCAGATATTTTTTGAAAAATTGTATATAACCTTACTTCAATATCTTTTAGGAAACAGATTTCATTATAGGAAAAGTCTCCATCTTCAAAATTGTGGTTGTAAGAAGACATCCCCCAAAACGTGCACTTTTGCAGTGTTCGAACATAAGTCCTGAAACATTGTCTTAACCTTTCTTTACACTATCCGAGGACAAAGTTTAATAAAAACATTTGGTGCCATTTTTTAGAAGATTTTGAAAATGTTGAAGCTTTATGAAAAGAAGCCTAAAAAAAGAACGGTTTAGGCACTAGTGTTGACCACAGACGGATTGACGGACAGAGAAACGGACAACAGACAAGCGGACTGAGACGGACGGACACGTTTTGTGGTCAATCGGCTTTTAGATATCACGAATCCACAAAACATGGATTCTAGGTACACCACGTGCTACAGGAAGTAATTTCCTATACATAGGAACATGATTTATCCACTTTTTCGTTACTAGCGCCTGACAATAAGAGATTTTCTGTCGCAAACTCGCTGTTTTCTGCTCACGATTACAATACTTTCTCTTCTTAGGAGGACGAGTAAGGACGAGAATGTAACAAGCAATTCTCACGCACATTTCCTCTTCCCAATACATAGTTATTGCATAGTGTCCAGTGCCTTTAGTACATCCACTCACTTTTGTGTCCAGATGCGCGAACGCCAACATTACGAGAGAGTCACACTGAAAAACGCGTGTGTAATCACGTGACTTATTTGGCACACTAAACTAGTCACGTGAATATTATAATTGGAATTTATTCTCAACTTTGAGGGCAAAGTTTGCAGCAAGGTATATTCTACATCACTTTTTCGGCATTGACCTGTATACATAGTAATTTTTATATTTAATATAAAAATAGAATAATTAATTAAATACCAATGATTAGTGGGTACCTCTAGTAGAAGGAATGAAAGTACAAAGGATGTGTCACTATTAGAATTCGGTGAAAGCAGTTCACTCTGCTACGATAGTTCGAAACTACTTCCATTTAGATCGAAACGTTTGGCAAAATCTTTTTTAGCTCGGTATCACATAATGTGTTACGTTGCGATGTAAAAAACTAATTAATCAATTCTAGAAACGTAGCAATGTGTTGGCGAAATGTGGCTTTGATGTCTTCTACGCACATATTAGGAATTCATTAATACTATTGCTACAAAATGTACGCAGCACAACCAGTGTTCGTCCGCAGGTTGCGGACGAGAAAAATTATAGTGGAAAACAATACAAAATGTCAGAAATTTGGGAAGATGGCCAAATAATCAGGAACAAACAAGGGGATTGAGGGCTTTTATCCTCATTTAATACAATTAATTTTTTATTTGCTCAATGAGAGTAAATGCAATGGCAATGTAAATGCAATAGTGGGCTCATAATGGCTGTAATTATGGAGGAAACTAGGAATATATGATACGAGTACAAACTTCTAGGACATATAGAGGGATGAAAATAACCATATTTGTTGAATGAACCTGTGGTTAGAAATGTCTTGTAAAGAAGTTACTCATGCGACACTGCTCTAATAGGAAGAAAACTCTTGAGGCACTGGTGTACACAAAATCTCTTTGACTGCGTCTTAATATGACCTGTCAAACTTCAGTGCACAATGCCTACCAATCAGGGGCATATGTCACCCGAATAACTTAAAAATTTCCCATCTTACGGTAATTGTGTGAGTTTGAGTTGTTGGTGCATGCCAAGGGAGGGGAGGGGGCTCTTGTGCATTTGTATCCGACTTCATCCCATGAGCTTCAGGTACCAGTTTGTGTCAGAATATTAGCGGGAACTTTAAATGCAGTCAGTCACCAAAAATATCACCTTGTTACAAGTCATTGAATCAGTTATATGAAGCATTTCTTTTAAGTATTGCATCTTGTACAACTTTATCGCGTTATTTTTGCTCTCCATGCAATATGGCGGGCAGCGTGTGTTCTGGCTTTCCAAACGAAGTGCCCGTGCAGTGGTCACGTGGGTTCGTGTCGCACACTGGTGCTGCGCAGAACGAGCAAAAATCGGTGGTCGCCGCAGCACTGTCGCGCGTACTTTCCGCCATGGCGGCTGTGCAGAGGTCGCGCCGCGCCGCCAGCGCACGCCAGTCGTGGAGCTTTCGAACGCGCGTGCCGGGCATGCGCAGGGCGCTGGCGCTGGCGAGAGGACGACGGTGGCCGCGACTCGGTGGCCACTTCCTGCGCGCGAGGGCTGGCGCGCGCCGAGGAGCTGCTGGGCGCGACCTGGGCGTGCCCGCCCGGCCCCGCCGCGCCGCGCGGCCTGCCAGGATCATCAGCACGCTGCACTACTGGTACCATGCATGCCGGTATTATGAAACAGTCACTACGCTAATTGAGCTATATAATAACCATAGTGGTTCACGTGCCCAGAACGGTCAGGGTCGGGAAGAATATATTCCTGAGATGCCAAATATTACTAGTGACGGGTACTGACACCAGTGTATGGATTACATGAAGTGTGTGATGGCACCCGCAGGTCGTACTCGGCGGAGCTGCGCACGTGGCTGATGTCCGGTGCGCGGTACATGGCCGGTGAGGAGGCGGACGCTGCCGAGTTCCTGTGGGCGCGGTCGCGGTCGTGGGAATGCTCCCCGCTGTCCATCTCATGCAGCCAGGTGACGAGCATCGCGGAAGACGACTCCTCCGCCTTCTCTCTGGACGACCTCGCCCCGCCCGCTGCGAGCGCCCAGCCCAAGGAAGAGAAGATTCACGACCGCTCCAAAGCCCACGACAGACGCGTCGTTGGCCAGAAGAAAACTGTCGAGGACGAAATGGATCGGAAGGGGGAACCGGGAAAAGAAACCCAAAAAAGAGACGAGTTTACTCGTCTCGTGGAAGATGCATCTGAGAGCAAGCACGAGAGCAAACTTGTGCAGACTGAATGCGTTTTGCAAGAGATTATGTCATTAAAGGCTTTCGTAGATAGTTTATTAGTTCACGAAAACTTGCAGCATCTACAAGAAAAAATGTCGAAAACAATCGGAGAGAAAGGAGATGTGTTCGAGGTTCAATCGCCGTTGTATCTCGCCGCTCGAGAAATAGTCAGGTCGATAGGCAACGTGGGTGCGGATACGTCCAACCACCCGGCCGGCGACGGCATTCGATCCACCGAGTCCATCCAGGCCATGACGCATCCGTCCGAAGAAGGAGGCTCGAAGGGTCGTCGCCCTGATCCTTCATCCGACGAAGTAACTTACGGGGGCAGCTCGAGTGGGAGCAAAACTACGGACTCCGTAGACGAACTGCGCGGTCGCGTATCGTACAGCGGCAGCCCGTTGCCGAGCGCGAAAGACGTGAGGTTCACCAAATCCGAGACACGGAGACTGTACGACGATCCCAGTGCGCTGACCACTGGGGGCTCCACGTGGCCCTCGGAGGCAGAGTCGCACGACTGCATCGCCTTGCCGGTGGTCGACGGGGAAGGCTCGACCACGCCTTTCAACTCCGACTACTCGAGCGACTTGTACGAGATGCTGGGCGACCTGGAGTCTCCGGAGGAGTCTGCCTATGCGTCCGGGAACGGATCGGAGGGCGTGGCCTATTCCACGGACGACACCCTCGTCGAGGGAGAGCGCGTCAACATCGGCGTGGCCATCGTCACGACCAACGTCGAAGAGCCCAAGGCGGTCGTGTGCGACGGGTCGGTGTGGTGCGCGACCGACCAGTCCTCGCTGTCGACCAAGGACGCGCCCGCCACGCACAGCCGCGATATTCTCGACGAGTTGTGCGACTCGCTCTCGGAGGAGAGGAACTACGACTTCGGGAAGCTTTCCGCCAAGGGTGACGCGTCGGATTTCCGAGACTCGTTCCGCAACAGCGTCAAGAAATTCATGACGTACGGGGCGGGGGGCAAGAAGAACCACTTGAGCGCCGGGGAGATGACGGACGAGTCTTTGAGCTACGACCTGGACCCGGCGGTGAAGGCGCGTTCCGACTACGGGCTGCTGTTTGCTCCGCCCAGCGACCTGTGCGTCGCCGCGCTGCTGCACATCTCTCGGAAGGACGCGCGCCTGCCGCCGGCCCCCGGCTTCATCGACCGGCTGTCCGAGGAGACGGTCTCCGAGACGGAAACTAGGCCGGACGTGAAGCCGTCGAGGACTAATGCGACTTCGTCTTTCTGCACCGCTCGCACCGCATCGTCGCATCTCGTCGACATCGAAACGACGTACACGAGTATAGACGAATTTGGATCTACTCCAAGTAGCAGTCTCTCCGATGTCTCTATGTCTCGCCATCCGGTCGTGAGAAATGTGTCGCCGCCAACAGTGATCCACGAGGAAAATGTTGCTAATCATCCATATTGTGGACTGTGCATGATGTGTAAAAATATTATACAAGAAACGTCCTCGGCATGTAGGTATGTAGCTTGGGTCGAAGGTTTTAGTATTTACAAGAGTTTTCTAACTTGAAGGTCAACGCCCGGGGACTCGTCGCCGTATCTTGGACATGTCCACTGGAGTCGTTTCACTCTCTCGATGTAATGAGTTGATTTCTAAGACATCTCACCTCTTAGAATTCTTTGCGGTTCTTTTTAATGCGGAATAAACAGAACGGGTGAGGCATGGCCGCGATGTTCTCTAACTTTTGGATGGATGCGTAAGCCAATTCAAGTTGGTTGTTTTCTGTTCAACTTTTTACATTACTTGCCAACGGGAAGTAGTTCTAATTTTGCGTAAAATGAATTAATAAATTTATTATAAATTAAATCTCATGATTAAAATACTATTAATCTCCAAAAGGGTATTAAAAGTATTAAACATTTACGATAACAATTAAGTCTGAAAATACCTTTGGTTTTTTATTTTCTAATATAAAATTCACTTTGCAAATATGTAAAACCGATAAAAGAATTAAGCGTACAATGAGAGAAATGAAGATTGATATGGTTTCTGAAAATGTAATAAATATAGGAGTTCGAAACAAGAGAGTAGTGATGGCTGCTTTTGTGCATTAAAATCGTGAAGTGAAACTACATTATTAGTTACTAGTTCTAGTACTCTGAGCACTCAAATCAAGTAAGTTTTGATTCATAAAATAAAGTATCTTGTAGATGTCAGTTTAAACGACATTGTACTTCAAATTAAATAAACAATGGGGTGGGTGGTTCAGATCCGTTCCAGTGCTGCCAAACCAGTCAGGGATGTCCAGCAAGGAGAGGCCGCGCCCATCTGAACAGTCGCCCAGCAGACAGGCCTGCCAACCGGCGGTCGCCACGCGAAGGACCTGCGAGGCGTTCCGCGCGAGGGTGCCGCGCCCACGCGCCCCGCTGGAGCTGACGTCTCCGCTGGCCTCCCCGCAGCAGTCGCTGGCGCTCGCCCTGGCGCTGTCACCGGGGCCCGCCCCGCGCACGCCCGCCGCCTCCCCGGTGGCGTCGCAGTGCAGAGCGCGCGCACGCCGCTGTCGCGCTGGCCGCCCCGGTCCGCGTGCTCGCGTGCACGCCCCGCGCACGCTGCTCGCGTCCACGCTGTTTCTGAGCAACCGCCAACGCCTCGCGCGTCGGCACGGCCGCCCCCTTCCGCTTTAAGCTGCGTCGCTGCGCAGCCCACGGCCGCCCGCACCACCCCGTGTCGTCGCCAGCTTCGTTCCACGTGGCAGTGTCGTGGCCCGCCGCCCGTCGCTGCGGCGCGGCGGGCGTTCGCTTGCTGTCGCGGCGGCGACGTTCCGGCCGTCCACGGGCTGCTGCAAGCACGCTGTGCACGCTGTCAAACGCGCCGCGCGTCCGGCCTCCGCCACTCGGCCCGTCCACCCCCGCCAGCGCGCCACCGCCGCCGCTGCTTTGCCGCGCGTCGCCGTCCACGCAGTTCCTCTCCCACGACCCAACGCTCGGCGTGGCCGCCGCCGCCCGCTGCTGTGGCGCGTCGGCCGTCCTGCTGGTGCTGGGGCGGTCGGTGCTGCTGCAGCCGACGCCGGCCAAGTCGCGCGCCCAGTCGCCTGCGCCCGGCGCCTCGCGCCCGCCCACGCCGCCCCCCCTCACGGCGCTGCCCCCGTGGCCCGAAGCGCTAGCCGCGCCGCTGCTGTTCGGGGCCGACGCGGTGGAGCAGTCGCGGGAGTCGCTGCCCCCGGTGCCGTGGGACTGCAGCGCCCCTTGTGTCTCCACCTCCACGTCCAAGACGTCCATCTGGTCGCTGCCGCCCCCGCCGGCGCACGGCTTGCTGGACACGGCGTCCATCAAGATGTGCCCGCCGCCCCCGCCCCCCGACGAGCCCGTGGGCGACCGGCCGCCCACGTCGCCCGTCAGCGTCATCATGGAGACGGGCGAGTGCTGTTTTTCCACGGTGAGCACGCGTTGACTCGGCAAACGTTTAGATTTCCCACCTAATATGGACGGGTCACGAAAAGAGGAACGTCATGGCAACCTATATATTAGTTGGAAGCACGATTTTTCTATACATTTCATGAGAACTATCTAACGCACAAATTATTTTTAAAATAGTCTTGTATTGAAGAGAAGCTTGCTCAATTAACTTAAAGAAGTATTTTTGTTCCAAATATCTATAATTGGTTCTAAAACCTAATGGTACAACAAGAGCACATACTTTTTCGCTATATAGTAAATGGGTATGTAATATTATAAAGTGACAATTTCAGTCTTACACTTCAACTACCATTTGAAAATTTTAGAAGCAAACGAAGCGCGAAAACCACTATTTTTAAATCAAACGCTTAAATGAAAATAGTTCTCTGGCAATGAATTCAGTGTTTTCACGCGCCTTCCCAAAGTGAAATCATCCATTCGTTTTCACATTTAACTCAAATTACATGTTGCAATTTAAAATCGATTCACTGCTTAGATGATATTCAACGTCATCGTTCTTTTCAATATTGGGATAACTGCCTCCACGCACAAGTTAAATTACATTCAAAGAGTGCGCCTCTAACGAATCGCGGGAAATTCAAATTTACCATTTCATTTTTTTTTTCAATTTTAGAAAATACCGAGTGTGCGTAAAAAATGGTACCAGTATGGGACCAGCATCATTTTCTTTATCGTTCATTGCTACATACGTGAAAAATAGTTAAAGAAAAAATTCGAGACTTTTCTGAGAAAATAATTGTTTAAAATTTAAAAATTGCCTATGTTTCACGCATAATTTTCACAATTACGCAAAAAATAGTCCTATTTTCGAAAAACTGAGCATGGCATCCCGGGATGGTCAGTATTCCTCCCTTGCTGTACGGTGAGATCCGGCGCGACCTGCTCGACGGCTCGAGGAACATATCCCCCTCCAGATAAATCCCGTCATTGAGTGGCGAGAGCATTTGTGAACGCGCGCACGCGCACAGCGGCGGCCTCTCACAAGCATCTGGTCACGCGTTCGTCCCAAGAAGGCGAGAACATCGGGTCTTAAAGATTTTCATAGTTCGCCGACCGTTAAGTTCAATGGACAATGCGTATGGCTCATATAGAGAATGATTTCTAAAGAAAAAGTCTAAATAAATACATTTAGTCTATTTCGTATTTTTATTTTATATTTTTTATAAGAAAGTGGTATTATGAAAAGTGTTTAACGGTTCACGGCCGATATCCCACATAAGTTACTTAGTAGGTTATAAACCCCGTCGGTTTACAAACTTCAACCTTGTCCGCTCTCCATCGGCCCGACGGCGTTAATAACTCTCGCTAGAGCGGGCAGCTTCGTGCTGATGGGGGTGGTGGTGTGCGCAGCTGCAGGAGGCGACGGTGCCCGTGGGGGGCGTCCGCCACAGCAAGCGCCGCTCGCCCACCAAGGGCGTCCGCGCCGCCAACGCCCAGCGCCGGCCCCGCCCGCCGGTCAGTGCAGCGTCTTCAGTGTTTACTGATAACAGTTGCAAGATGGAGTCTCTTGTGGAAGGAATATGAAAGGGAATCATGGGAGGGAAATATCAAAAGGCAAACCGAGTCAAGTTAACAATTTTATTCATGTGTAGCCTGACATCTCATTTTCAGCCGTTACTAGGAAGCTTTTGGATATTTAATTTATTCTCCTAGTTATATTTATTAACAAACTAGAACCAAGATACTGAAAATCAGATATTTTTGAACTTACTCTATTACATTACTTCTTAGAGTTTGTATACCCTCCGTATACCCCCCAAAACAGTAACAACTTTATCAAAAATGTAAATTTCGTTTAGTGCGTCTTTTAAAAATTTCAGTTCTTCCTCTCTCGATAAAACTGCTGGTTTCTTGTATTCAAATCCTTTCAACTGTTTTTAAATAATAATGCGAATGCCTGCATCTCGTAACATCAATCTGCTTTTCAACGAGTAGCATTGTCTTCAGCATAGAATATTTGGTCCACAATGTACTTGGACTAAATTACTCGTACTACAAAAAGTAATATACTCCTAGAGTACACAAGTAATACGTATTATTCGTAAAAGACAATATCAATAATAATATACTTATTCAAATGAATTACAAACCGAGTCACGTTAATATTTAGTTAATTTATAAATAAGTATTAATGAATAATTAAAATGTAAAAAAAAATAAAATATGTACCACGGACTTCTAATGGTCGAGCGGCGTAGTTAGTGCGTATCAGTGTTCTGATAGATGTCAAATGTAAAGTTAAAATGTTAGTTCGATGTAATTTTACGTGTTATATATTGACTTGACCTTGAAATCTTAGGGATATAAAACCACCAGGTGGAGAAATAATACAAATTAACTTTTACATTTTTAACCAGCTCACAATAAACGTATCTGTATCTTCACAAACAAATCTGTATACGTCAGTAGCAGCTATCCGTAATTTTACTTGAGTTCCACCAGAATCTCTGGCTGTTTGCTCGCGCATCCCTAACTAGCCAAAAACGGGCTGAGCTGCGCTACTGTTACTACTACATACGTATACTGTGCCCAAAGCCGGCTGACAACGCTGCGCAACAGGGCTTCCGCACATCGTGGCCGGCACGAGTGTTTCACCCGCGAACAGGTCATATTTTCTTTAAAGCAGGCAATTTTTCTTTTGGACATTTTTGTTTTATAAAATTCCGCTGCCCATGAATCTTTAATCCATGACGATAGAATAATTTAGACTTGGGTTATGACCTTCCAGATCACCTGATTATATATCCTGTAAATTTTTACATTGGGCATAATTGCTAGGTCAATATTGTACGAAAATCTCATTCGGAAGAAGAGATCTTGCGTTCTAATGAGGAGATAGTCGCCGCAGTCTCATGTGATTTGCTTCAAAGAGGAAATGAATGTATGTTCGGGATGTGCCAAGAATCCATTCCAGCTGAAAGGCACCACTTTCAGCAGCTTCTCTAATAGTTAAGCGCTGCTGAGTCGGCGCTCCGCACTTCCGCTGTCCGCACTCCGTACTTCCATCTACGAATTCCATGGGTCTTTTGAAACTCATTGCGACACATTTGCGTAATTTCAATAAATTTTATATTCAATTTGATTTAACTAGCAAAGACAATTCATTCTCCGTGAGACGGTTTAATCGTTGAATTTTGTCCGTTCAATAGATTTGTCTATCTCATAAGAATCACGGCTTAAGAAGGCCGGAAGAAGATCGAAAAATGTCTGTTCCTGATCACAAGCCGGGATTGTTATGTGGAAGACAAATCTACTTGATACATGAAATTTAAGGATTAAACCGTCAGATAAAGTATGAATTTCCCATGCAAATTGAATCAAACTAAATTTAAAAATTATTGAAATAGGCAATCGCTCGCCATGAAAACTGAAACCGTCTCCAGACTTGGGCGCTCACTCAGCCACGCTTAACTAGTAAGAAGGCTGCTGAAAGCGGCGCTAATTAGCTAATGGCACACGAGAGGTGCGTCGCCTGCCTGGCCGGAGAGCCATTCGCGCGGTGCCTTGCGCAGGGCGCTGTCGACGTGCCGCGGCCCCCGGGCCGGAGGGGGTCGCCCGGAAGGGGAGGGCGCGGACGCGGTCCGCCCGAGCACGCGCCGCGCGCCACCTACCGCCAGGTGAGATGGGAGTGGCCCGTTTGGACCGATTGCGTTGCGTGTCTGGCGTGGTGGGAGTGGGGCCAAGAGGGTTTCGGGGGCCTGGAAAAATGAGCACTTTCTCCGGAGCAAAGTTAGACTACTCCACGAGACTGAGCTAATGATCCGTTTCGTATGTATAAAAACTTCGTATTTCCCTGAAGTGACAGTGACAAAGTGAACAATGTCACATTTTCTTATTTTGTGTGTAAATGGCGTCTATATAAGGAAGTTCCTGAATTAGGTGCTCGGGAATTCTACCACTTTGTAACTCACCCGGCCACCGGAGGCTCTGGCCCTCTACAGGATATAATAATAATAATAATAATAATAATAATAATAATAATAATAATAATAATATCTCCGAATAATTTGCTCATGTCTCACGAGCATTTGCTCATTGTGAACAAGTGGTAGTGCGGGCTACGAGTTTTGAAAAATTGTTAGTTAGAGGTTACACAC